TTTTCAATATAATTTATATTGTTTCATTCGGAAGTCTTACATGAAATATGACGTAAATTTTTTAGGGTTGTTACGGATTAAATTCTATTTGAATTACTTTCGAATTATATATGTTTGCTTTAAATTTGACTTTCATTTACTTCCTGAACTAAACTTGAATTTTATTTCAATTCATTTAATTTCTATATTCAATTTAATTTACTCAATGTTAGTTTAGCATTTGCCAACGGAATGATAAACAAAACTATACAAGTAGCAAAATTTATTTAATAATATTAATAATGATGTAATCATACGATGTTTTTAAAGTGTCAAAATACATATTAACTTATTTTCATTGATATTATATTGTTTATTAAAAAAATTATTTTTAAAATTTTGACCCCACAATACTAAACCTCTGGGTCCGCCCCTGTTTGAAACCACTTTTTTGAAAACAGAACAACTCTGTTACCAGTTTGTTACCATCACGAAAACCTCAATCTTCCCAAGAATTTGAACACTGAAAGCTTTGATGTCAATTTGTTGTGAAAAGCGGAAGATATCGGATTAATCCAATACTAAATTTTTCGAGAAAATGAGTAATTAAGCCATAATATGTAGCAATTGATCACAAGAATACAAGGACGGTGTAATTTTATAGAGAATGGAGATTTATTATAATGTAGAGACAGAATACAAAAATTATGTGTCTACAATATTCATAACTTCTCACTAAATCATTATGAAGAGCCAACTGTATATAGTAAACAATCCAAGTCATGAAAGTAGAGATGCAAATGAAATAGAATATTTAAAAGTTTTCTTATCTTGATCTCTTTGAATCCAATACAAATTATAACTCCCAATAGGGCTTGCAAATAGAATTTCAACTAGAATTTGCCAAAATAGAACTTCAACTAGAGTTTGCTAAATAAACTTCGAATAGGATTCCAAAAGCATTCCTAACAGAATTTTTCTTAATGTGCACTTTAACTAGAACTCTTAATAATCTTCAATAAAAAATTCGGATCACACCCAAATTCTAACAGACGCACTCAATCAACCACTCAATGAATGACATGTGTACCTCTATTAATTTCACCTTCTAAGCACTGGTACAATATTTTTTCGGAAGAGTTGATCATCACTCACTATATAACTTGTGATGAACTTCTTTTTCACTCTATTTTCTTTTGTACATATCCCACACACCATGTATTCCAAAAAGAATGAGATAGCAAAATACAAACTACAATCACTCTAGTACAACAATATCTTTCTTCAATAATTTCACTCATCCAACTTATTCTTTTGCTTAAACACTGTGAGTCTACTATACCACAATTTTCAAAATATTATTATTTTCAAGTTTAAAATTTGTTCTCCAAAATCCCGTATTTCTTACAAAACTGATGAATTGTTGATGTCAATTACAATTGAATAATGTTATTCATCATGGTGACACCTGTTGGGTCTTATACCTATATGGTATATTTTTTATGATAAAAATAATAATTTATAATAAATAAATTGTGGTTCTATTTATTTGTTGCATTTCTTTATTATTGAACATGTGAATTAAAGTGTTTACGATCACTTGTGATAATATAAGTTAGGTACTTATATTGAGAAGTACAATGTGACACTACTTATATTTTGATCATAAATAATTTGTTCATGACCAATGTATAAAGGTTGGCTAATAGGTGTAATTTGTGCACTCATATAGGACATATTATTAAACTTTTAAGTCATCAAATTATTAATTTCTATTTAATTTGGGTTAATTTTTATTTTGTTTTTAGTGACTAACTCATTCGAAGCACTCAGAAAAGAAAGAAGGATGAAATTGAATGAAATCGGCAATTTTTGAGATCAAAGTCACAATTTGAAAATTGAAGGATTTGAATTGAGCTAAAGAAAAATGTTAGTTGCACAATTAATTGGATTTAAGAGCTAGAATGCACATTCTAAAATATTGTTGGACATTTGTGCAAATTACAATTTAATGTGACAGGAGGAGTTTGATGTCGAAATGGGTTTTGACACTCAGACCTCAATTGGGTCTCAAATTGAATTGAGTTTGGACTTCATTATATTGAAAGACTAATTTTCCAATTGGACTACAGGGAACATAGTGCTGAATTTTTATATATTCTTGCAGAGAAAAAGACGAAAGGGAGGAGAGATAGATAGAAGTGGTCTGCCGGCAGGGAATTGTATTGGAAGTCAAGAATTGTTGCCACTTTGGAATCCTACTCATACAAAATAATAATAATAATAATTAAAAAAAATAAAAACAAGAGCTGCTTGCTGGAAAAAAGATATACACATATACACCACACAGCAGGGAAAGAGGGAGAAAATTGACACCAAAAAAGGCGGCTGCTTGGGCTGATTTTGATATATAAAGAACACACAAATTGGCAGCCGGAAGGGGAGAGAACGTAGCTGAAAATCTGGGGAAAATTATAGAAATAAAAGGGCTGCCATTGCATATATTCCACACGCCAACATTGGGGAAAGAGATACACAATTGAGGCTACCTTTGGGAGCGTGGATTAAATTATTAAAGGACAAAAATCACAAAAAGGGCTGCCAATTGGTGGAAATTATTCAAACCTTGGGACTGCTGGGGCTGAAAAAGGAGAAGGAATATATTACACATGCAGAAGCCAACGACAAATAGGAAGACGGCAAAGACGTGACTGCAGCATCGTCACTTTGGAAATTATTCACGTCCCCTCAATTACTCGATGATGTCTTTTCTGTTTATTTATTTAATTTCACCATTATACTAGGCTAAGTTTTCTCATGTATTGGATGAAGATGAAGCCCGTTATTATTTATTTTTAATTCAAGACACGTGGTTTAGTTTAGTTCTTGTAATTCTTGATTAATTTTGCATGTTTAATTTAATTATTTGATTGTTTGATCACAAATTAAATATATGATTGTTTGTTGTAGTGTTGTGAGGTTCAAAATAAGTTCAGAACACTGCATGATTAACATACGTACAATAAATTTTAGGAATAAAATTTATTACGTGTGCAATCTTTGAAATAATTGTGAAATTGAATGCGTTCTATTCATGTGAATTCAGACTAAGAATAGGATCGGGTTGTGAATAGGATAGATTTAATTTGTCTTGGAAATGAAAATTAATTATAATAGAATTATCGATTGTAAAAAATGCAAGAACGAAACTAGTAATGTAGTCGAGAATTTGAATAGATAATAATAGGTGGATTCGTAATCCAATATATTATTCACACATACATTTTAAATTCGCATTTCACACGTTTTCGTAGATTAAATTAAAATAATTAAAAATCACAAAAATCGCTTTTAATTTATTCGCTTTGAATCTAATTAAGGACAATACACTCAATTAAATTTCATTACTCGTGGGAGGATACTCTAACTCACTAAATTTATTACTTGTTAACGATCCCGTACGCTTGTAGGTTTTGGACGACCATTAGCACCTTGTATTAGAAGGTTATAGTGTTGACTAATTCAATATCATGTTTGTAATTTGTTTTTATCACATAAATAGTTAAAGTGATACCAGTACACTTGGAGTGTATTGAACGAACCACATGTCGAGTTTAATTCTATAACACGACTGTGCAGAGAATTAAATTTCACTTGATTGCTATATATTTCATCAAAATTCCTTTACAAGGTTATGCATATTTTTTCGTGATTTTAATGGTTCTTTGATTTATCAATGAGTGAAATCAATTTGATTGGTCAAATATCTCGATAAATTAGGAACTTGAGAATGATCAAAGTAGAGAACATGAATTTGTGTCAGGAACCGTTACCCTGAAAAATGGCTAGAGTGACTACTTAAATTTTTTCGTTGAACGGTTAAAATCTAAACTCAGTATTTAATGACAGCTAAACTTCGACATATGTGATTAGTTGACAAGACCGTTGAAGAAAATGATACTTAAGTTAGTGAAAATGATCTGAAGCACAAAACGGTCATTTGTGCTCATATACGGCAGATCGGAGAAAAGTATTACAGATTTATTGTCTTCTGTAATCTTATATATTTCAAAAATTCAGACTTTTGCATTTAGCAGAAAAAATAAATATTAATAATTAGATTTGGTGGTTTAGGGCCAACTAGACAGAATCTAATTATTGGAGTTTGGATAATATATGTCCATTCAGGTTCCTGTGGTAACTTTATAAAGTATTGAAACTTAATTACGATAATTATAATAATTTTGGGCTTAATTATAATTACAATAAAATTTTGTACCTAGTTGTAAACTTAATTATAATTGTAATTGAAGCTCTAGGATTATACATGTAATTAAATGGAAACTAATTAAATTTGGATTTTAATTAAAACTCCTACTTAAATTTTAATTAAGATCTTTATTTAAATGTGGAATTATTATTGTACAAGGATTAGAAGTATTATATATCTATAAATTGAGATTAAATAAAATTTAGACATCTTATGGGACTGAACAACGATTGTAATTCATAATTTCATAGTGTTTAAATTTGGAGAGTAAAAAAGAGAGATAAAATTATTTTCTTGATTCATTCAATCATCCAGTTCAAAAATTGATTTCTTGATTTAATTAAAAGAAGATGTTCATCCGTCGATGTAGTCTTAACTTTGAAGAATATCATAGAAGATTTGGAGTTTGAAGTATCAAGTTCTTGAAATTAAAAATTAGAAGTTCAATATCCAAAAAGTTGGAAGTTCGTGGTTCAGAATTTATACAAGAATTGACCATCGAATTTAGACAACAATTCAAATATTTTGTTCTTGATATAACATACACATGAATATCTAAACGATCTTGTTTATTTAATTAAAGATTTTTTTTAATCTCCGAGTAATTCTGCTTCTGCATTCTAACAACACCATCAATCTAGGTGACATTAGCAAGTAAAATGCATTGGACAATGAATCAAGATGTCATTGTCATTTAAATCAACGATGAATAACATTTCTCATACAATTTCATAAAGTAAAAGCGAACAAAAGATGATGCCAAAACCCCTAGAAAAGATAGTTATGTACATGCATTATTAATCAACAACTACATTGCAATAAGCCCAGAATCTTGACAGTCAAAATTTGATCTCAAGAAGCTCGAAATAAGTAGTGACTAAATGAATAATACTCGTGAATAACACGAAATATGTGAATAAAAAGTTATTTGATATCCAAAGCACTGATTCCACGAGATCGTGTCGGGTGCTCGGGGTTTGGATTCAACCTCGAGTAGAAGAAATATTAGCTCAAGTCTAAATGATACTGTTGAATGATATTTGGTAGTACCTTATCTTACCAAAAAATCAATTTTTTACTTTTATTTTACTATTTTAATCGTCATTTTTAGGCTTTTTTCCTCATAAGTAAGATCTACTTTTCTTACTAACGATCAAAAAATCAATTTTCAAAATGACCGTTGAACAAGATTCTTTTGGTGTACCTTGGAACTAGCTGGGTAGTGCCGTTATGGAAATTGCTCTCAGAACCAAAAAGTGACAGTTGTAAAGTTACCATCTCTTAGTGCATGATTGAACTGTTATGTCACCTTTTGCCTCCAAATATTCAAAATCAAGTTACAGAACGATTAATCTTCTTAACAAAACATACCTAACAACACCTCAATTGAAGCAAATTCAATCGCATTTTATCATATCAGGCGCCATAGCCGATCCTTTTGCTGCCGGAAAACTCATAGCCAAGTTTGCAATTTTCGATCTTTCTCACACTCAAGCCCTCTTTCACTTCTTGCCTCAGCGTTCAACGAACATATGGAATACCATGATTAAAGCGTTCACTGAGAATCACAGACCTGAAAATGCCCTTTCACTCTATAAAAAAATGTTGGAAAGTAATTTTTTGCCAAATAATTATACGTTCTCTTTTGTTTTTCGGGCTTGTTCCGAGTTATGTGATGTTTCTTTGGGATTAATGTACCATACCCATGTGGTCAGATTGGGATGGGAGTGCTATGATTTTGTGCAAAATGGGTTAATTCATTGTTATGCTAGTTGTAAATCTATGAAAGTTGCTCGGAAACTGTTTGATGTCAGTACGAAGCGGGATGTGATTACATGGACTGCGTTGATTAATGGGTATTTGAAGATTGGGGAGGCTGGGGCTGCGATGGAGTTGTTTGATCAAATGCCTGAAAGAAATGCAGTTTCTTGGAGCGCGATGATCAATGGTTATGTGCAGATGGGATTTTTTAACGAGGCTTTAGAAATTTTTAATGATATGCAGGTGGCTAGGATCCGGCTTAATCAATCTGGGGCTGTTGGCTTGCTCTCAGCATGTGCTTCGCTTGGTGCTTTGGATCAGGGAAGGTGGATTCATGCATATATTGATAGGGTTAAGATGGAAGTGGATACTGTGTTGGGAACAGGACTTATTGATATGTACTCAAAGTGTGGGTGTATTGACATGGCTTGTCATGTTTTTGAGAAGATGTCGTGTAGAGACGTGTTTGCTTACACTTCCATAATTTCAGGTTTAGCTAATAACGGGGCGAGCAAAAGTGCCATAGAGTTGTTCAGGAGGATGGAGGATGAAGGTATTAGGCCGAATGACGTTACACTTATAAGTGTCTTGAATGCATGCAGTCGAATGGGGTTGGTGGAAGAAGGGTTGCGAATTTTCAAAAGCATTAGAGATGTTTATGGGATTGAGCCAGGAGCACAACACTATGGTTGCTTGGTAGATCTTATATCTCGAGCCGGGCTTCTTGAACAAGCGATAAACGTGGTGAGAGAGATGCCCATGAACCCGGATTCATATGTATTGGGAGCATTACTCGGTGCTTGTCGAGTTCATGGTGATATTGATCTAGGTAGAGAAATTGTCGAGGGATTGGCTGAGCGCTGCCTTGACCAGAGTGGAATACATGTCCTTCTTTCAAATATTTATGCCTCCATCAACCAATGGGATGATGTAGAGAGAGTTAGGAAGGGAATGGAAGAGAAGAAGGTGAAAAAGGTGCCTGGATTTAGCTTAATTGAAGTGGATGGTTCAGTTTTCAAATTTTTTGCTGGAGATAGGTCTCATGATCAGATGAAAGAGATTGAATTCACATCACTAGGAATTGACAAAGACTTAAAGTCTATTCAAGTTGATGCTGGTAGATTTACTATCGGGCAAATTTGCCAATGAGTCTATGACAATGTGCCGGTGCATAATTTTCAGCTTAACAATAGAAAAAATACATTCTTGTGCCATCAACCAAGATAGTGACTTGAAAGGAAGTTGCGACTAAAGAAATTGTCTTCATTCTTGTCTCTTTCTTGTTAGGAAAGAAGATGATCGTAAAGTAGAAATTTAAAATTGCAAGACATTAGGTATAAAAGAATAATAATTGATTGTTAGCAAGGTGCATTAGGTATGAGTGAATAATAAATGTCTGGCGGATAAAATTGCAACGCATTACGTATAAAAGAATAATAATTATTTGTTAGCAAGGTACACGCTTTAGGTACAGGTGAATAATAAATGTCCGACAGTTTTAACTATCAGCTATGATAATCTTTATCACATCTTTGCTGTAACCAATAGAAACGCACTGCCTTCATTTATTTCACTACTAATAAAACCAAATTTGAGGTGATATTTAGTTTCTAAACAAGTTTATCTTATTTTTTACAATAATTTATGGTTTTTTGACAATCTTTACATAATGTTTTTTCCTTCTCCACTTGTGCACTACGTGTGTAGTACATGTGTGTTGTTCGTGCGCGTGTATTATTGAATGATAGATGTTCATCTATATGATGATTGATACTAGTTTTATGTGAACATTTAGTGTTACATAGCAGTTTGCAATATATTCTGGTGTGTGTCAAATGTGTCAATCCTTCCATCAAACCAAAAAAGGAACCCTCAATAATTAACAACAATGTATAAAATGTCAAATACTAGATTAATTACTTGAAACATATTTATGAAATTATTTTTTTATATAAATTACTAATTGGATCACGTGCATCGCACATAGGTTGTCTTTAAGAGTCTATGAATTTTATTTGAATAATTGGTACGTACTAAAGATAATATCACATTCGATTCAAACAGCTGGAGATAGGTCTCATGATCAGATGAAAGAGATTGAATTCACATCACTAGGAATTGACAAAGACTTAAAGTCTATTCAAGTTGATGCTGGTAGATTTACTATCGGGCAAATTTGCCAATGAGTCTATGACAATGTGCCGGTGCATAATTTTCAGCTTAACAATAGAAAAAATACATTCTTGTGCCATCAACCAAGATAGTGACTTGAAAGGAAGTTGCGACTAAAGAAATTGTCTTCATTCTTGTCTCTTTCTTGTTAGGAAAGAAGATGATCGTAAAGTAGAAATTTAAAATTGCAAGACATTAGGTATAAAAGAATAATAATTGATTGTTAGCAAGGTGCATTAGGTATGAGTGAATAATAAATGTCTGGCGGATAAAATTGCAACGCATTACGTATAAAAGAATAATAATTATTTGTTAGCAAGGTACACGCTTTAGGTACAGGTGAATAATAAATGTCCGACAGTTTTAACTATCAGCTATGATAATCTTTATCACATCTTTGCTGTAACCAATAGAAACGCACTGCCTTCATTTATTTCACTACTAATAAAACCAAATTTGAGGTGATATTTAGTTTCTAAACAAGTTTCTTATTTTTTTACAATAATTTATGGTTTTTTGACAATCTTTACATAATGTTTTTTCCTTCTCCACTTGTGCACTACGTGTGTAGTACATGTGTGTTGTTCGTGCGCGTGTATTATTGAATGATAGATGTTCATCTATATGATGATTGATACTAGTTTTATGTGAACATTTAGTGTTACATAGCAGTTTGCAATATATTCTGGTGTGTGTTAAATGAGTCAATCCTTCCATCAAACCAAAAAAGGAACCCTCAATAATTAACAACAATGTATAAAATGTCAAATACTAGATTAATTACTTGAAACATATTTATGAAATTATTTTTTTATATAAATTACTAATTGGATCACGTGCATCGCACATAGGTTGTCTTTAAGAGTCTATGAATTTTATTTGAATAATTGGTACGTACTAAAGATAATATCACATTCGATTCAAACAAATCAACAAGAAAATCTGAGAATTTATTAAGTTTTTACAATGTAATCTTAGTTGTTACATCCCATTCCTACAAATTAAGTTTTTACAATGTAATCTTAGTTGTTACATCCCATTCCTACAAATTAAGTTTTAAAAAAAAAAAATGGAATGCCATGAATAATTAAAATTTTCCACACATTTTCACAGGCAACAACGTTGTGGGTTATGTCTACATCTAGAATCAATGCTGCAACATAGTTTTATCGTGTCACATTTATTATTATTATTTACAATGACTTCATATTAAAAATAAAGTATATGACAAGCATTTTCATTCCCATTGAACCATCCGAGAATTGTACAACGTCACAACATTAAGTTCACACACCCGTCCTCTCGAATCTCGAGTTTTGCTGAAAACCCCTCAATGGAAATGAAATAAAAATAAAATGGAAGGGTTACTCGATGTGTTTGGGACAAACGACAAACAAAAACGCAGACATGAGTAGATATATATATTCATACGCATGTTTTTCGCGAGGCCTTGCACTCGCAATGTTATTTTTGTAGGGCTTTCTTGGTCGGAGGAAAAGGGACAAGGTAAATTCAGTAGACTGTTTTTTTGTGAAGCTTTGATAGTGAAATTTCAATGTACTATGCAATGTTTTATAAACACATTTAAATGCATAGAATTTAGTAATGGAAAGATAGAAGAAGAAATTTAAAATGTTTAAAGACTTTGTAACTGACAAGGGAAAAAGGTCTCATGGTCCACTCTGAATTGACTGTTCTAACTATTGTGGCCATTTGAAGGCCAAATTGATCGATCCATGTAGAAGATGTCTAGAAAAGTGCCTCCAAAAAATTCTGTGTAGGAAATGTTTACAGAAAATTGTTTTCCCCGTTGACTGACTGGTCCAAGTTTACAAGAAATTGTTTCACCCTTGTTGGTCATCAATGTTTTTACATTTGAGTTGCATGTAAATCTTCCATAGGGATTCAAACGTAATAAATTATAGACATAATGGACTTGGTAATTGTTAAAGAGGAATTTTGTTTTTACTCTTAGATATATTCTTGACGAAATGTTGTAATGTGTTATGCACGCAAATAATAATAGCGTGACAACGAGGTGCACATATTAGGTACAAGCGAAAAATAACTGTGTGACAGTAATAACTATCAACTGTAATAATCTTTATCTCACCTTTGCTTTAAATTAGAGAATCACATCGCCTTAGTTATTTCACTACTAATAGAACTAATTGATTCGAGGTGATATTTAGTTTCCTAAACAAGTTTATCTTATCTTTTACAATAATTTATGTTTTTTCAACGATCTTTACGTAATGATTTTCTTCTCCACTTAGTGTGTGCTTTTTTGTGTGATGTGTGTGTACTGCACGCAAGTGTGTTGTTATTGATTCAAGGTGATATTTAGTTTCCTAAACAAGTTTATCTCATATTTTACAATAATTTATGTTTTTTGAACGATCTTTACGTAATGTTTTTCTTCTCCACTTAGTGTGTGCACTTTTGTGCGGTGTGCGTGTACTGCACGCACATGTGTTTTTATTAATTTAAGGTGATATTTAGTTTCCTAAACAAGTTTATCTTATATTTTACAATAATTTATATTTTTGGGATGATCACTACGTCACGTTTTTTTTCTCCACTTAGTGTGTGCACTTTTGTACGATGTGCGTGTATTGCACGTGTGTTTTTTGTGTGCGTGTGTTTGTTGAATGATAGATGTTCTTCTATATATTGCTTGACACAAGTTTTATGTTGATATGTAATATTAAATTAGTAGTGGAATACATTCTAGTGTAATGTTAAATGTGTCGATCATTTTATCAAACAAAATCTTAATAATTGCAACAATGTATAAAATGTCAAATAGTAGATTAATCACTTATTTATGAAATTACTCTTTTAACTTAATTGCATTCCCTGTTCAAGTCTTCAGCCCACAGCCCCTTTCTCTCCATTGCAAAAGTCAGTGTTTTGCTATATATTTTATGCGCGCTTTCTGCCATGTACCACGTGTGTTGTTCACGAGTGTGTACTATGAAACATTCGATGTTTTTTTACACGAGGATTGTTACAAGGTTTTATGTTTTTGTTATTTGGGAATATATATTGTATATTACATAAATTACGAACTATTTTCAACTATATTAATATATAACACGTAATTCTGAACGGTCAACACGATTCAAATTGAACTATTTATGTGACCTATTTGGTCACTAAAGTTAAATAATATCATGTAATTGGTCATTTGTTATCGGCATATACTCCGGATGTGACATTGGTTCGTTGAACCTTGATTGATAAATGAGCTGTGCTGTGTGCACAACTCAACACATAGCACGGCTTACAGCCCCTCCACATCAATTGGCACGGGCCCCACTGCATAGTGAGGGGGTTGTACATGTACATCACCCTTTGGTGTTGTACAAACAGCATCTTTCTTGATAAATAGCAAGGGAGACGTGACAAAGGGATTTTGCCCACAAACAAGTAGACCATAGCCTAAGCACAAAATGTTTACTGTAGGAGAAGGTTATTACTGAACTTGAGGTGTTCTAACGTAAGTAAAAGATAGCAACTTCATCCTACAAGACGCCCTCTTTGTCCTCTTAAAATGGTGACCATCTATGTGCTTTGCTAGCTACTTCATCCTACAAGACACCCTCTTTGTCCTCTTAAAATGGTCACCATCTATGTGCCTTGCTTGCAGTCTGGCACGCCATATGACCAAATCCCGAATGGTGCAAATCTCAGATCACCAATCCTTTCGTCTATGCAAGAACATCCCACTGTCACAGAGAACCATCGCACTTGGTTGGTGGTCCAACCATGTGTTAAAACCATGAGCTGTTTTGCATTTGGGAAATAAGACGTGGTGGCTAAGGAATGACGAGTCATATCGTCACTGAGAGTGAAGAGGCTTCCAAAAAATGGGAATGCTTCATGATTTGCGAATTTCAAAAACCAGGAGCTTTCCTGGACCAGCACGCAGCCTTTTTACCAAACATAGGCCAGGCATTAAACCACAAGGTGCACCTGCAGATTTTAGTTAATAGCACAATTTTGCATTCTTAGCTCAGTGAATTACTCTAAAATATCAAAAGTTTTGACTCCTCCAGACAAGGGTTGCGAAAATATTAGTAGTTGTTGAGGAGGAAAGGAAACAGAGTCCACAACTAACCTCAAAAAAATATATAAGCATATATTCGCGTGTGCCACTCTCATGTGCCTATTCTACTATTTCATTTAGAATAATAAAAGCAAAAAATTCAGAAAACTCCAAAGCTAGCATAACTCAGTAAATTGTTGAGCTGAAAAATGAAAATGACAATGTATTCAACACGGGGGTAGGAAGATAGTACAATATCCCACGTTAGAAGTCCTATTGTCCTATGTGGTCCTCTTTCATCACAAATTGCCTTACCATATTTATACAGCATTCTGTAGAACATGGAAGACTGACCTACCGACTTACTACTCGCACTTGATTGACCGGTATATATGGCGAACAAAAAAGAGTGCTGCACGGAAACCGACTGTCCCAAGCATGAGAAAGAAACCATAGCAAATGCAAGCCATGTATCCAAAGAAGAACGAGGTTTGCATGAAGCCGGACATATCAGATCGTGCATAATAGTAATACAGGCAGTAGCCATATATAAATAGCCCAGTAGATCCACCGCAAAGGAAAGACCTGTATAATAATTAATATTAGCAAGTCAATCCATCCATAAAATAGGATTAGTTGACCTGAGCTAGTAAACACATCAAGAAAATCAGAATTATCATACTTCATCAAATGATGAATTTTGCACTAGCATCTTACTACTAATGACATTATGCACAAGCATCAAATAAGTAACAACATTGTTTTTTCCAACAAAAGGACCACCCATGATTAGTCCATGAAAAGCTTATCTATCAAAAGCATTGGAAACATATCTACTGAGAATTAAGAAAATGACCAAGAAGTCGTACCTCCACCACCACTCATGGTCTTCCGCAGCAAGCTGGAAGTACGTCAATGCCACAGTAATAAAAGCAGTAACAATCAAGAGGATAATGAAGACTATAAATAAAATACTGTAAATGGTATAGATTCTGTGGCCCCACACACTGGCAAATATGTAGTAAAGTTCAATATATATAGCACTGAAAGGCAAGAATCCAG